AGTTTGGGTGGGAGTGTGGGTGTTGCGGTTTGGGTTGGAGTGGGTGTTTTGAGTGGGCTGGTGTGCGGTAGGGGGCTGCGGGACGCGGGTGGGTTGCTGGGCAAGGGTGGGAGGTGGTGGGTTACGGGTGGGGTTAGGTAAGAGAGGTGCAGCGGGAGCCCTGTGAGCAAGCGTATCCCCTTCGAACGTACCGACCGGAAAAATAGGAAGAACACCAAGGAACGACGAACTACATGGCGACGACGGTGACACAAACGATGTATATGGGAATTGGGTTTCATGAAACTCTACGTGACGGGAGACATAGACACGACCGGTCTTGAGATCATAACACCGATATCCCTTAGACAAGGTGTCATAACCCAAGAAGATGCATGGAGTGGACCTGGGTTGTAACTTATGATCAATGAGGTGACGTAGACAGGGATAAACTAAACATCTAAAAACACGAAGGAGATTATAATCTGGAGGTGAGTGATAGAGGGCTTCATGGGGTGACTTATTTTTAAGAGAACGCTTTGGCATCCGATTGATTAAAAAATTTGCAGTTGCCAAAGCCTCAACCCAGAACTTTGCTGGAAGGGACGCCGTACAAAGAAGAGTGACAAGAGTTTCGACCAAGTGGCGATGTTTACGTTCAGCCACACCGTTTTGTTCGGGAGTGTAGGGACATGATTTTTGATGGAGTATACCCAGCCCTTGTAAAAATAGTTCAAATTTTGTGTTGACATATTCACGCCCATTATCTGTACGAAAAATTTTAATGGAAGTACGAAACTAGTTTTGAACCATAGATTGAAAACTGAGAAAAGCACCATAAGCATCAGACTTTTGTTTTAAAGGGTACAACCAGCAATATTTCGTAAAGTCATCAATAAAATTAATGTAGAAACGATATCCCCCAAAGGAGGGTACAGAGGTGGGTCCCCATACCTCCGAATGAACTAAGTCAAACGGTGTAGAGGCCTTGGTTTCAGACACAGGGAAGGGAATTTTATGGGACTTAGCTAAAGAACACGCATTACAATGATCAATGTTTTGAAACTTGAAACCCAAACTGGAGAGTAAAGACTTGGTAACTTGAACAGAAGGATGGCCAAGACGACAATGCCACTTTTCGGGAGTGACCTTTACCGCATTGATCATCACAGACGAACTGGAGACAGGAAGGGAGTACAAGCCGCGCTCACAGGGGCCCTGGTAGAGTACCTTGTTGGTGGAATTGTCCCGAATCGTAAAGCCCTTAGAGGTAATAAGAAGAGAGCAATTATTATCTTTAGTAAACTGGTGAACAGAAAGAAGGTGAGAATTAATAGCAGGGGCATGTAAGAGGTGGGGTAAGTGAGATTGGTGATGTGGGGTGGGTAAACTACCTGAGCCTGTGTGTTCGATAGGAAAGGTATTACCTCCCGCAGCAGTAATGGAATTAGTGCCATGATACGGAGTAGAGTACTGAAGCCGTGAGAGATCAGAGGTCACGTGGGCATTTGCGCCAGTGTCCAGATGCCAGTTCTGACTTGGTTTAGCAGATTGATTCACATGATAAGCCTGTGGTGGTCCTGAATATGATTCATCAAAGCGATGCCAGCAATTCCAAACCGTATGGCCAGACTTGCCACACAACTGACAGATGACCCGATCACGAGAGCCAGACCTGCCGCCGAGATTTCGTTGAGGCTGCTGTGGCGCACGACCTCCTCTGCCGCCGAAGTCACCACCACGAGGCGGGCCGCCCCTGCCGCGGTACCCGCCACGACCTCTGCCCCGATATGTTCCTCGGCCAGCTTGGGTGAATAGAGCTGTGTGGATGTCCGACGAGGAAGAAGAGGCAGTGTCACCAATTTGTAATTTTTTCTCAAGGGAAACATTTAATTCCTCCGAAAGCAACCAGGCAGAGACTTGATTGAAGGTCACAGATCCAATATTGGTCCGAATATTCTGTTTTAACGAAGCATAGTCGGCAGGGAGACCACGGAGAACACAGAG